TTTTCGTGACGTGTAGGGCAAGTTTCTTAGTCATGGACAAGAACTGACTGACTTGACATTGGTAGTTTATGCTGTGGAGTACAGAAGATTTCCACACTGATTTCAAAGTGACAAACGTCTACCTTACCTTTCCAATCCTGACTAGTTTTAACATCGTCGTCCGTGCTGCTGCTGCCCGTAGTTGAGATTAAGGTGCCTAGATAAGTGAAAGAAGGGACCTCTTTCAAACTTCTACCATCGATAGTGATTGACACCTTTTGTTGTTGGCTGGTTGTCAACATAACATCCGTCTTCTCTATATGTTCACTTGAAGTCATGCCTTGGAGGCCCGCTTCTTCTGCCAGCTTGTTGGTTTTCGCCTGTAAGTTTTCGAGTTTGTGCAACATCAGGCATAAATTGTCCGCAAAGTCCATATCTTCTATTATCTCATTATCAGTTCAACGTATTTCCGTCTTCTCACCCACAAGCACGGTGTGCTGCATGACCCAGTCAGCCACAACTAAGAATACCATCAGTGGCAGTAGTCAGCCTTGTCTTATTCCTGTATTCATTTAAAGGCTTCGCCGTGTTTTCCACTGTGAATCAGTTGACATGTGGTATTCTCAGACAGCTGTTGATAAAGATTTAGGGTAGGTAATCCATAGTGTTACAATAGTTTCTAAATTACTTTATGATCAATGCTGTCGAAAGCCTTTTCAAAGCCGATGAAGGAAGTTGAGATGGAGGTTTGACTGATATTCTATGCCCTAATCAGTGAATATGATGAGTAGAGTTGCGATTTGACCTGCACATGGTTTGCTTTTCTTGAATTTAGCTTGTTCCTTATAAAATTCTGCATCCAACGAATCTTTCATTCCCTGCGGAATGACGCGACTTAATATTTGGCTTGGCTTGGCCAAGAGCATGACTCCACAATAGTTCTTTAAGAGGCCTAATTCAACCCTCTTTGGTAGTTTGACTGGTATAATAGATTTCCTTTACTACCGAATGAGAGTTTCACAGAAAGGGACCAAACAGATGCATAAGATGATGGGGGTTCGAATCTCAGAAGGGACATGAGTTCCTTCAAGGTTGCAGATACAACTTGCTTAATAGTGCCAACTACCACGCAACCTTGGTCCAAGGCTTCCTGCCGATTGCCTCCAACCACCTAATATGGTGAGATAGTAACTCATCGAAGAAGACATTGCGAAGTGGTCGCGCCATATCATGAATTAGCAGAAGTTAGAATTCATGGGCTGGTCATTGGATCGGGTCCCAGTGGCTTAATTGTCTACGAGCTCGCTAGCCTTGTAACCAGAAGGTCCTGGGTTCGAACTCCGGTGGCTGGTGCGTACTGAAGAAGAGTCCCAAACTAGGCTGACGAAACATCTGTCCAGTACTCCCAGGTTTCTAACTGATGTCAACTCATGATGAAATCCTCCTACCAATCAAACACAATCCCTACAAAAACCAATACTTGAAAATTCCCAAAAAAGCTGAATATGTGTGACATTGTAACGGATAGCTGACACAACAACTTTCGCCTACGGAAAAAAAAGACTTTATGGAGAAAAAGCACCCTTTTTGCAGACTGATTAACAGTTAACTTACACTAGTTTATATATATATATATACATATACGCAGGACACCATAAAACAAGATACTTTACGATTGCAGTCAGTTTGCTGATTTATATTTCGTATCACGTAATTATGGATATCAAACCCTACAGTTATCAATATCCTTCAGTTAGAAGGAAATTTAAATTGACGGTTTCTGAATGTCTTTTATGAAGAAACTAACGTCAAATACTGCAGACTGATGGGATGAACTTTAGATAAAACAAATTTACTCGATCAAGTAAACTAGGTATTTAATCTGTGGTGTATCCCTTGGCGCCCATATTATACCAGATTAGTATTCACATAAATCAATAAATAAATAAATAACAAACACGTAGTTGACCAGTTGTTCACAACAGATGACAGTAAACTGACCAAAGCTGCATTCACTAAAAATGCCTCACAGAAATAAAGTAGGATGCAATGAACTGTCATGCAATAAACACATCCGGAAATTAAACCTGCGCCAAAGATGATGCAAGTTAGCAAACAAAAATTAACTTTTTGAGATTTCATCAACTAGTCTCTTAGGACTGATACAGCTCTTCAAATAAGTAAAATAGTCACACATTTCACTTTCTGCCATTAAACCAGGGTTCAGTGCAGACTAGTGCCGTAGTATCAGACCACACTTCACAGGACGGGGAGAGGGTGAGTATTATACCAAACACACGAAGATTTCCACCTAATATGTTCAGAAAACTATGTGTTTTGTCAGGGTCTTCACAAAAAGGACTACATCATCATCTGCGTATTCCAGATCACTGATACATTTACCTAGTACCATATGGATTCCCAAAAGATGGAAATGAAAGAGTCACGTCCATTTAGTAGTATACCTACGATTATGTCAGAATACAAACAGTTGTATTAAGCATCTCGACTTCTAAATACGTGCTACACTGTAAAAATTAGAGAAATTCTATGACGTCATTCACTTATAAGCAAGTGATTTACGATGATTGATTTATATATTTTTCTTCTACTAACCATTAATCAGTTAACTGACATTATTATTATCATTATATTACTATTGTTCCCTTGGTTACCAAGTGGGACATGGGGATTCACACAGAACATCTCCACTTCCCCCTATTCTCTGTAGTCCTCCTTAGCTGGCTACGCTATTGCTCATAGACTCTCATCTCCTCCTCCTCCCATAATCTCCTCCATGTCACCGACGGAAACATAGCCAACTCGCCGTTACCCATTAAGATTCCACTCGAGCGATAGCCTGACACAATGTCACTATATTTTTGAATAATAGGTTTTTGATTGGTTCATCCCCAGAGTTGATTGCTTCTAATTGTACCTGGCTGATCATCCAATCTTCACTATGGAGCCAGAGGGGGGAAGCTATTGATAAGCCTGCAGACACCAGTTGGAAATGCTTTTCGTGACGTGTACTGCAAGTTTCTTAGGCATGGACAAGAACTGACTGACCTGACATTGGTTTTGAAAACCCGAATTTTGTTTTTTATGCTGCGTAGTGTAGAAGATTTCCACATTAATTTCAGAGTGACAAAGGTCTTCCTCGCCTTTCCAATCCTAACTGGTTTCGACATCGTCTGCCTGCAGCTGAGACTAAGGTGCCTAGATAAGTGAAAGAGGTGACCCCTTTCAAGCTTCTACCATCGATAGTGATTGACACATTTTGTTGTTGACTGGTTGTCAACATAACATCCGTCTTCTCTATATGTTCACTTGAAGTCATGTCTTCGAGGCCTGCTTCTTCTGTCAGCTTGTTGGTTTTCGCCTGTAAGTTTTCGAGTTTGTGCGACATTAGGCACAATTGTCCGCAAAGTTCATATCTTCTATTGTCTCATTATCAGTTCAACGTATTTCCGTCTTCTCACTCACAAGCACGGTGTTTGAGCAAACGAAATAATGAGCATCCTTGAAGATATCTCTTATTTTTTTTACGAAATATTTTTGTTGGTACAGAAGTATGAAATCAGTTAACAAAGTGAAATACATACCTCCGGCAGTATAATTTAAGGAAATTGACAAGTTATTCAATTTCGCCTATAAAATCAATGTTATCAAGGGACGACGTGTGATGACTTTTTACCTCCTTACTATGTATTTTGTTGTATTTTTCTAACTGTTGTCTGAAGTGAAGTGCGTGTTGTTGGTGAGTAATAAGTTCATTGGTACAATCCTCCACTCAACTTTTTATAACATGTAATAATTTTGCTGTAGAGAACTTTATGAACAACATTAAATACCTCCTCCATTATTATCGCAAAAAAAACACCTTTATATTCCCCTATGAATGAAAAATAAAATGAGTCTACAAAGAGATTTCTTTCGGTAACTTCACTTCAGTTAGAGCTGCTCAGTTATGGGGGGGTGTTTATATACATGAAATGTAGATTGACAACAGTGGTCAAAGGTTTGCTGTCAATTAGTAACAAAGCCAATCAGAAGGTTGACAACTAAATCGGTTAAGTGACAAATACTCCTTTGGAAATAGTTAATAAGATTGAAAATTAATCGTAAATAAAACAGACTGCATAGATTGATATCAGTTGGAAAACTATTGAAAACCAGCCAAAGGGAGTACTGGACAGCTGTTTCATCCTAGATTGGGAATCATCGGCAGTACGCAGGACCCTGCAGTTACAAGGCAAGCTCCTATACCATTCAGCCACTGGGACCTGATTCAATGGCTAGCCCATGAATTCTAACTTCTACCAATTCGTGATTTTAGCGTGACCCCAACCAATGTCGTCGGTGGGACACATCCATCCTCACACATGACATCTGGATGGACCTCACTGGTCACGACTTCTCACTAGAACTGCAGGAAACTCCATCCTGTAGGAAGTCACTAGCGAGCATCAACTCGTAAAAACAAAACTAACCTTTACAAACCAAACTAAAGAAAAAGACTACATAGAGCCTATTATACAGTTATTCTGGAGGGCAGAAAAAAAATGTAAAAAGAAAAGAAAAAAAAGGTACTAAGGCCATGGTAGTAAAAGAGGCTGGTTGAAACATTTCTGAACACGAAGTTCAACTTTCTCCTTAAGGATTGCTAAGATGTTTCGTCTGCATGAAGAGGACGTAGGAGAAATCCCTTCAAATGACTTGGTCGTACTTCATAAATAATTTTAAAAGAAGCCTCTGTTGATGCTGCATGAACAGAAGTAAGAATAAGCTCCAGAACTGACCTGTTGACTGTTCTACATTCTCCTTCAGACAACCATGCTGGTAAGTGTTCATGGGCACGTGTAGGCAATGTCCTACTGGTACGAACTATGTACTTAGATGTATTATTTTTTACTGACGTTTCACTCACCATTCAATGCTGTTAATACAACTTCATTAAAATATAATATATTACCTGCTTCATTTTTCCCCTTTATTATTATTATTATTATTTTATATAGTTACTTTTATCATCTTTCGTATATGCCTGACACTGTCACTTTTCGCTTGGGCAATAATAAACAGGCATAAACTACCAGTTGTTGTCAGTTGGATACTAATTTCCAGTTTCACCATATTTACAATCATGAATTTAGTTCTATTCTGGCGTGTTATAACAGCTGAACAACGTATCTTACAGTCAAGTCAATGTAAACCACTTGTAAATGATGGGAAAACCGAGTAATTTTTTCTTTTTTTTATAATTAAGATTTAATTCAGTGCGTATATCCCTTTACATTCTTAGTTTGTACTTAGTCTTCGATTCCACATTCGATAGGTATATATATATCGTTACACTGGAGCTTAAATTTTCAATATATTTTCAATGTATTTAAACATGTCTCCTCTTTTACCATTGTCTAATTATGTCTACATTGATTTGTAAATAAACTCAGCGAACGTCATTGGTGGTGGTGGTGGTGGGAAGTTATTTTGTCCCACAAGTGTTCCTGTTTTTTTTTTTCTTCTTCTGTGTCTACGAATGTTTCTTCCTCTCACGTCTTTCATACCAAAATGTTCAAAATTTGTATTTTTCACTACTCTTGTGTGTAACCATTAATTAGTGATTATTATTGTTATTGATTAATTAATTAGTATTATTAGGAATTATACTATTAACTGTCATCGCCGTCGTCGTCGTAGTAGTAGTGGTACTACGATGGGGATTAAACATCATCATACCAATTCATAACCAGTGCTCCTTGTTATCTATCTATGTATAAAGTTGAATTCCGCATAATTCACAAAGCTAAAATATTGAACAGGAATTTACCGCCGATGGACTACTCTGTAATTCTATCATATTGTTGCATTTTGCACAAATCTATTTTTGAAATCGCGCAATGCAGTTACCGGCACCTGATACCATAAAGTGGTGCTGGCTATTATTACTATTATTATCATCATCATTATTATTATTACTATTGTTTCCGATTATGCGAGGAAAACACTGGCTTCATAATGTCACCATATATTGCCACAATATTTATATATATATATATATATATATTTGCTTCAATGTAATTTCATATCGATGTATGTGATAAACTCACCAAAAAAATATAAAAATGATGCTGATAATGAAAAAATTATTTCCCTTCTGTTTTTCATTGTAAATCCGTACAATTGAATCTCAAAGCTTAGATGGTGTAGAATCTGTCTGTCTGCCTGTCTGTCTGTTTTCGACATAGAACTTTGTACCGATATGCGGCAGTTCAAGTCGCCACACTCCATGTAGCACACAAAGCAAGAGAAGAAAGCAGAAGTCACAAGGATTGGATGCATCTGCGCCATCCATTGAGAACGATTTTGAGCCATGTCATCAATTGTTTCCAACCATTGGTTTTTACCGTCCCGAGGACCCTAACCAGAAAGCCAGTCTACACCTTCCTACGTGGCTTAGACTAACTGTTGTAGATTTCATTGAATGGTGCCATGTTTTGGTTTGACCGCCGCTAGCTCTTTTCCAGCCTGACCCTATATCTGCTAACATTGCCTATCGGTCGAGGAAGGCGATGACTGGGCATACGTAACACATGTCCTAACCATCTCAGTCAATGTAGCTTCACAGCCATGTCGATTGATTTCCCCTCCTTACCTAGCACTCGACCGAAGCCTGACCTCAGTGTTACTCACCTTATTATACCACTTCACATCGTAGATAGAACGCCGGCACCTATGATCGAAGGCAGCTAGCCAGGTTTTTCATGTCCTCCACTCTCAATGGCCATGTCTCACAGCCATAAAGGAGGACGGAGCGAACTTCTGAGCAGTACACCCGCTCTTTGGTCGATAGCCGGATATCACATCGACGCCAGAGACGGCGTAAACTGGCATATGCGAAACTAGCCCTCTGTATCCGTGCTGAGATTTCGTCAGAGATCAACCCGTCGGGGCTGATGCTACTTCCTAAATAAGTGAAGTGGACAACTTGCTCTACCAATTCACTTTCTATTTCTAAACTAGGAGTCAGTGTAGTCCAGTCCTGTAACATCATCTTACATTTGGCGGGAGCGAGTCGCATACCAAACATTCGTAGATTGCAGCGCAAGGTATTCAGAAGACTGCATTTTGTCAGCGTCCTCGCCTAGAAGGAGTATATCGTCTGCATATTCTAATTCAACGAGACTATTATTCCCTGATAACAACTCAATCCCTGAGTCTATGAAGTGAGTTAGGGTTAAGGTTATTACTATGGTATCGATGATGAAATTGAATAGGAATGGGTTTAGTGGGTATAGTGTAGAATAATCAGATGGTGTAGAATAGTCAGAATATATGTCAGTTTTTTTATCAAGCTAAAACTTTCCATAATCCATGCGACTTCACATTAGCTCCTTTATCTTTACTGAAGGACAGAAGATTGTCGACAACTGAATAACCACCAATAAGTTCATGTCCTTTTGTCAGGCGTAGTGTCAAAAACAAATGAAATAAGTATAATTAATGATTTGTAAGACGACAACAAAAAAGATAATAAAACAATAATAGTAATAATAATAGAGTACAAAAACCTTCCAAAAGTGTTTATGTGTGGGGATTACATTTCATTTCTATGCGTAAGGTAAGTTATTATTCTTGCTTTTCTAATAATATTCATCCAGTGTTAACTGAATGAGACACAACTACTTTTTGAATGTAAGTAGTATAATTCGTGTTTCTTTTGTGCCTTTCAAAGGTTTAATTCAATTTAATTTGAGATTTTCCCGTCGATTGATTGGACTGAAGTGCTCGTCAGCTGGATATACCTGCATTTCCTAGTGAGTGATGATGTTCCCACCACCGAGGCTCGAACCCAGTGCCCTTAGATTCAAACTCCAAAGCGTTATCCACTAGACCACTTGGGCCACGTGAGCCACTTCTTGTGCAATGGGTTATATTAATTTAATTGAATTTGAGATTTTCCCATCCATTGATTGATCGGACCGAAGTGCTCGGTCGCACTGGGTTCGAGCCTCGGTGGGAACATCATCATTCACTGGGAAATACAGGTACATCCAGATGATGAGTCCTAAATAGGGCGAAATGCGCATCCTGGCTGGATTCCTTTGCTAGTCACCATCCACAAATTAAATTCTTTCAAAGGTTAGTTTGCAATCAGTCTACTGAACTGAATTGTCATCCTTGAAGTTTGCACAAAACTGAAGTAGTTCAATTCTCGATAATTCATAAAAATTAAAAAAAGCAAATGTATGAGAGAAGGAATAACTATTAGGGAGAATCATGACAGCTTAATTGATCTGAGAGTTCATAAAGAGGGAATGCACCACCAGTGGGCGCCATATCTCCAACAGTCTCTAGTTATAGGTTCTTAGCATTTCGAAGACACCTTCAATCAGACAGTCTTCACCTTTCTATATGACTTGAATCAACAGTCAAAGGTTCCATTGACTGATGCTACGTTTTGATTTGACTGGGCGTGACTTTTCAATCTGATCTTATGTCAGTTAACAATGTTCGATGAGGAAGGAGGTAGCTTAGCGTGCGTAATACATATTCTAGCCATATCAATCGATGCCTGTTCAGAACCTCATTGATTAAATTCCCCCCTCCCTTACCTAACACTATCCCTAACCTCAATTTTACTCACCATATTATATTATACATCATAACAGTCAGTCTAAAGTTTAATCTTGGCTGTCTACTCATTTTACGGATACTTTTCACAGTGCGACTACATAAGGCTCAAAAATACATCTTGAAAGAAGTTTGTTTGTGATATACAGACAGATAAACATTGGATTACCCCTTATCGATTATATTTTGATCAAGGTCAGTCACAACTGGCCTACGTACAGTAGCGTCCACTAAATTCAACGATCATGATAATAGATCAATTGACATATCCCTTGTGATTATTTGAATCGATTGAAAATCCCCATTGAGTCATATAAAAAAGAGAAGACATTCAGCGAAGAGACTCTTTTCGGCGAATTCATTCACATAGCTGTACAATCGCATTTATATATAAATATTTGTGTGTGTGTGTACATGAGGTTTGTCAAGTTTAGATAATTGATTAGTTAATACAAGAATGATATAATATAGAAACAAAGTTAATGAGACAGCAACTAAAGTAAGATTGAGTTAATAAGTTAGATGACGTAATATAATTGGCTAAAATGTTACAACTTAGGTCAGGATAGCAACAGAGGTAATTACAGGTAGAGATTAAGTAGAAGTGAAATTGAGTGAATAAGTTGGATGACGTAACATGAATGAATAGAAACTGAGCGTTGTTCAAGTCAGTAACAGTGGTAGTGAGTCCAACTCCACAATATCTTTTCTTGACGTCCAACTAACAAGAAGAGAAGAGGATGGAACACTGAAAAGATCTATCCACAGAAAATCGACGTGGAACGGACAGCTTACTAACTTTCACAGTTGGGTACCACTATACACCAAACGAAACCTGATCCGTTCACTTAGCTACAGAGTTCGCAGAATCTGCACCCCGGACACCGTAGAAGACGAACTGGACAACCTCAAGAGAATCCTCGTCGAGAATCGCTATCCAGAATGATTTATTGCAAAATCTATGAATCCTAGACCAGAAAAGCCGCCCATACTCAGCGTCAAGAAAAAACTACTCTACATGAACCTCCAATTCAATGGAGATCTATCTGCGGAAACACTAAAAAATCGACTGTCGCGCTCACTTAAGAAGACCTTCTTCGCAGCTGAACTACGACTAACCTTCTCCACAAAACCTATGATTCATGTGAACGTGAAGGATAAGCTACCGCTGCTGGCCTCATCAATGTGCATTTATCAATTCACCTGCTCGTGTGGAGCCAGGTATGTCGGCCGTACCCAGCGCTCGCTTTCCAAACGTATCACCGAGCACTTACCAGCATGGTTTTACAAAGGAGAAAATCGATGCCACCGCAGTTCCATCTTAGAACATCTGATAGAATCCGGACACCAAGCTACACCGCAAACAAACTTCAAAGTCGTCTACAGAGTAAGAGGTGGTCTCCCTAAAGGTGTACGAATCAGACTTCTTCAAACTGCAGAAGCAATGGCGATTCACTTGCTAAGTCCTGAACTCTGCATACAGAAGTTCGTTCAATCGTTACACTTGCAATGGACGTAATCTATCTTATTAGCCGACATGTAAATTCTACCTAATCTTTTTTTTCTTTTCTATCTCTTCATTAGTATTATTTTGTCTTCTCAATTGTAAGATTTTACATTTTCAACTTTCGTGTTCTCTCTACCCCCACCCGATTCAATTTCTACACCTCACTACCACTGTTACTGACTTGAACAACGCTCAGTTTCTAGTCATTCATGTTACGTCATCCAACTTATTCACTCAATTTTACTTTAGTTGCTGTCTGATTAACTTTGTCTCTATACTACATCATTCTTGTATTAACTAATCAATTATCTAAACTTGACAAACCTCAAGTACACACACACACACACAAATATTTATATATATATGCGATTGTACAGCTATGTGAATGAATTATTTGAATCATACATTATATTGTGTGTAAAATCTACTGTGGCTGATACTGAAATAAAATTTTTCGGCTGACATTGTTATGTGTTCTTACTTAAGTGGAGTGGGCTGGGGAAACAGGTAGCTGTCGTATAATATTGCTAGCGTAGTCATACGGTACTCGTGATCACCACGTCTGTGTCCGATTTGTCATCTCTCTATACAATCTCAGTGTTATGGCGAAGTATAAAAGTGGTGACATCATAACAGTGTGTGTTCCATATACCCAAATATGGAGATATTTCTTCAGGAGCACAAAATTGATTTTAAAATGCATAAAATGCAGTCAGCCGTCGTATTACCTAACTTGGAATTTAATAATAATAATTTGCTTTATTCCAGAAACAGTACTAGTGGTACAGTGTGGAATTTTCAGCACATATCTACAATATTTGCATCTAATTTTATCAAACATTTAAAAGGAGTATTTCAAAAAATAAATATAAAAACAAAAAAATGCGAAAAAATACCAAGAAGTAGAAAGGAAAATAAACAAAATAATAAATAATATCTCAGTATTGGGTAGTGAAAGCTATGATATGTTTATGCATGGTGACAGTAAAGCTATA